TGGTGTGTGTATATGTATGTATGATGTGCCTGTCTGTCTGTATCTGTATGTCATATGTATCTGTGTGTGTGTGTATGATGTATGATGTGCCTGTCTGTCTGTATCTGTATGTCATATGTCTGTGTGTGTGTGTGTGTGTGTGTGTGTGTGTTGTATGATGTATGATGTGCCTGTCTGTCTGTATCTGTATGTCATATGTATCTGTGTATGTGTATGTTCGGTATATGATGTGCTTGTCTGTCTGTGTCTGTATGTCATATGTATCTGTGTGTGTGTATGATGTGCCTGTCTGTCTGTGTCTGTATGTCATATGTATCTGTGTGTGTGTGTGTGTGAGTGAGATCCCCATTTTTCCCATCCTGATGCTGGTGACTGCTTGCTAAGCCTCGTTTCTGGCTGTCCCCCAGATCTTACCCACCTTCCCTCTCTTCCTCTGCTCTCTTCCCAGGACGCCCCTTACTTAGACCTGGCCCCCTACATGCCTGACTACTATAAACCCCAGTATCTGCTGGACTTTGAAGACCGCCTTCCCAGCTCCGTCCATGGTTCAGACAGCCTGTCCCTCAACTCCTTCAACTCCGTCACCTCCACCAACCTGGAATGGGATGACAGCGCGATCGCCCCATCTAGCGAGGGTAAGTGGCTCCAGGGCAGAAGGAGGCAGGCCTGTGCCCTGAAGTGGTCTCTGGAGCTTCCTGAACCTGGCTGAGCGATGACGTCTCTCTGGTGTTTGGGATTTGTAGTTGCTATTTCCAAGATCTTCCAAGATCTTCATTTTCTCAGTTTCAGTGGTAGCTTAAAAAAAAAAAAAAAAAAAAAAAAAAAGGTGGGTTGGAGAGATGGCTCCAATGTTAAGAACACTGGCTGTTCTTCCAGAGGTCAGAGGTCCTGGGTTCAATTCCCAGCAACCACATGGTGACTCACAACCAGCTACAAAGAGATCTGGTGTCCTCTTCTGGTGTGCAGGTGTACATGCAGACAGAACATTGCAGACATAATAAACAAACAAATAAATCTTAAAAAAAAAAAGGGGGGGGGCAAAAATTTGGCTTTATGAACTTGCTAACTTTTCCAAAGTTTCTAACCTCATGCCCAGGGGCAAGGAGAGATTCACAGAAATGTGCCCTAGAAACTCTTGCCTGAGTCCTGGCTGAGATCAGCTGCCTGGGGAAGGCTGTCCTGCAGCAAGCTCTCCAGAGAGGCTGAGCAAGCCCAGGAGAGACAGGCAGGCCATCTGAGGGGGCAGGAACCCTCATGGTTTCTTGGGTAGTCCCTCCTAGTGCCCCTCCACGGGCCAGAGAGGGCTGCAGCTGGCCCTCCTGAGACTGCGGAGCCGCAGGCACGTCCTTTCTTCTCAGATCAGTTTCTAGAAAGCCCTGGCTCTCCTTAGACTATACATCTTGGCACTCATTAAACTGGCCATAAGCCCACTCCCATGAGATCAAGGATGCCCTCATTCAGCCAGCCTCACCTCTGTGGGTGAGGGGAGTTCTGAACACTCACTCAGCTCCCCTGAGACCTGACCTTCCTTGGTCTTGATTTCTGTTCTGCTGTGGGTCATGTGTCCCGCTTTCAGGCCTGCTGCCAGCAAGCTCTGCATTGCGGGTTCTAGCAGTGAAGCTCAAGGGGTAGAGCGCTGGTGCAGCGCATATGAAACCCTGGTTCAAGCCCCAGCACTGCAGGCTGGTGAGATGGCCTCGTGGCTCAAAAGCGCTTGCCACACCACACAAGCCTAACATCCTGACCTTGATCCTGGGAACCCACCACATAAGGACAGAACTGCCTTTTTAAGGTTGTTCTCTGATCTCCACACACATACTGTGGTGCATTCAATCCTGTTTGTACACAACACACGCACACACACAGATGGCGCATACCTTTAATCCTAGCACTTGGGAGGTAGTCAGGAGGATCAAAAGTTCTAGGCCAGTGTCTGTTATGGAGCAAATTCAACACCAGCCTGGGCTATGTGAAAAATGTGTTTCAAAATAATAATAATAATAATAGTAATAATAATAATAATAAAAACTACTTGCACTGCTTATTTGGTGGTGAAAGTCTCCTCTGGTGGGCCTCTGGGCTACCCTGGAGGGGGAGTCAGAGGGACAGACCTTGAAGGAGCAACCAGGTCATCCATGAATGGAGGTGGCCCCCGAGCCCAGCAAGTCATACTGTCTAACCCAAGCCAGGACGTCATTACCTCAAGGGCCACAGGGGGGAGGAAGGCAGGGAGTAGAGAGCATGGTTAGTTCACGGAAACTCAGCTTCTCTGCCAGAACCAGCTCTGAGCCAGGAAGGCGTGGCCCTCAGGACAGCCGAGGTCGCAGGTGCACCTTAGAGACCCTGAACAAAGTTCTCCCCCCTCTCTCTCCTCCCGTGTCTCCTGCCCCTTGCCCCCAACCACCTGCCTCTGCCGGTTTCTAATCCTGAGTTTTGTCCCTCATTTTTGTAGATTATGATTTTGGAGATGTGTTTCCAGCAGTGCCGTCTGTACCCAGCACAGACTGGGAAGGTGGGACAGAGTCCTGTGAGCCTCTTTTCCTGTTTGCAACGTTTCCACGCCAAGCTTGCTGCATGTTTCAGAATCAGCTCCTTATTACTTATAACAGTGCCCGTGGTCATAGCAACGCCACAGCTGGTGCTAGAGTAGGTGGAATTCTGCAGTAGGGGACTTGGCCCCTAGCCCAGGAGCCCTTCTCTCAGGGAGTGTCCCGCCTTCCCACGGGGGCCTCAGGAGTCACTAAGTGACTGTTTCGCAGACACCAGGCCACCTTCCTGATTCCAGTCCCAGGCGTTACACTAATGGTACATGTGAGCGGCCTGGCTCAGTGGAGTGTAAACCTGTTCTAGAAAAGTGACGCTTCGAGATGCAGGGATTGTAAGCTCGCTTCTACCCCATGAGCAACCAGGGGAAAGATGGAGGCTTGATCCTGTCAGGCCATCCCTAATGGACTGAGGTCCAAGTGAGGAAACTGCCCACACTAAGCTAAAACTCCCTAGAGGGAGGAGCCAACAAATGCCAGGGCTTGGCAGGTAGAAGCCCTGGCCACCAAATGCGACCATGTGAATTCTGTCCGGGAAAGCCATGAGGTAGCCGCTGACCTCTGCATGCATGCACAAGCTCCATAAGTAAGTCAATGGGTGCTGCTCTTTGAATTTTAAAGTGGAGTCGCTTCCTATGTTGTCCGCTGGGTGTCAGCATTGAGCTCTTCTGCCTGTGGCCCACAGCTGGTTTGGACAAATCCACATAGCGACTCCCAGGTTGCAGGACTTACTCAGAGTAGGGTCTGTGTTTCAGACAGTATATTTGCGCCTTCTGTCCGAGGCTGGCCTGGACTCCCTTCTGAAAGAGCTTTTTCCCTGGGGACCCCTTCTTGCCTGAGGTGGAGTTCCCTCTGAGCAGTGGATGAGAGGTGAACATATGATGAACTAGCTTAATTTTGAGAGATGTGGGGTCCAACATTTCAGTAAATTGTGTCATTTGGCCAAGAAGGTGGCACTGAGCAGTTTGTGTTTGAGGACAGGTAGCATGAGGCCGGAATTCCACCTTACTATCTTTCTCCTCTTAGCCGCTCTGAAGCGTAACGTCGGCGTTGGTTTTTCCCCTCTGATTCTAACCACTAACCCATTCTACAGTCATCTGCCAGGCAGGCCATGACCTTCTGACCATCCTCCGTGGCCCTTAGATCCCCCTTTAAATCTCACCCAGGAACTAATAGCCCAGCTTGCTCATGCTGGGCCAGGCCCAGGCAGGGTTAGATTCATCGTGTCAGTGACTTCCCAAGTTGCCAGTCCTGAAGAGTTCCCTGGCCGCTGTGTCAGCTCACCCAGCTAAGGCCCACTGTCTCCTTGAATCTGGAGGAAAGCAGGGCTCGGGAGGGAACTCCAGATGTGGGGCCGTGAGCATGGTCGAGTAGGGTACTCTATGGTCATAAGCTTCTATAGAATGGTCAGGCATCCAGGCTGAACACTCACTGTGTTCTGGGGTCTGGTCACTTGCCGCTCGTGAACCCCCACAAGCAGCTACAAGTGCTAAGGGGAAGAAAGGGGTTGAAGACCTCTGTCCCTGTGGGACCCCTCTGTGCAGTCTGAAGGCATGGTGCCCTTCTCCCGAGCGCTAGGCTCCGATCTCAGGAAAGCTGAGGCACATCCCTCGTGTGCCCCTGAAAGAGCTGTAATCACTTTTCTTCCTGAGGCAGAGCACTGCTGGTCATCCCAGGCCAGACAGGGCTACATAGTAAAATCCTTTGTCAAAAATAAATAAAAACGAGAAAAGACAGCCACTTAAAACAAGAGAAACAAAGGCCCTTCCAGTGGCCTTAGGGAAGGGTGTTCCTGCCGCTTCTGCACAGCTAATGGCCAGGCAGATGTGTACATGCAAACAAGTAGAGCTTGACTAGCCATTAGCCCAGGCTGTCCCATGCCTCAGCTCCATGCCCGCCCATTCCAGTGAGTTAGAATGAAAGGGTTTGGAGGAGGCCAGTTAGAACAGCTCCTCACTGGAAGGCTGCACACTCCAGCTCACCCCCAGAGGGGTCCCTGCTCTGTTCCCCAGGAGTGCTGTTGGATTTGACGGAGAAGACTCAACATCCGCTGAAGAGTCTTGGGGGCGGCCCCTGGCACTTCTTCCTCTCTGCATCACCTATCTTTGCCCCTGATCTCTGTCACGGTTCTCTTTCATGTTGGGTCCCCTCCCCCATGCCCATGCTTTCATTTTCTGTCTCCTCTGCTTTTCTTGCTTCTCTGTTCCCTGTTGTCTGTGGCGGAGCGGGGCTTATGGAGAACTGTGGGTGTCACTTCTCGCGGGGAGTGATGTTGAGGGGTGGCGGGGCACCCCTCGTCCTCGCAGGAGAGGGCTCTGAGATTATTCTCAGACGTATGCAACCTGTCTCCTCTTGGGGTCCCAGCCAACCTGGGAAGCATCAAAGTTACCCTGCCCAGGGCTTAGGCCTAAATGCTGTTTTACATTGTGGACCCTTAACTGAACTTGGCTAAGTGTGAGTATTAAGGGTTCCCAGTGACAGACAAGAGGGCATCCCATTCATTTGTCTCCAAGAGCACCAATTCAATGTCTTGTGGGTTGGGGCCTCTGCTCTTGAACTAGGGCCACTGTGGTCAGGGTTCCCTAGGAGGAACTGGCCCACCTCCCCCGAGATGAGGCATCCTATGGGTCCTAGCTGGTGGCTGACAGGCTGCCTGTGTCCTGCCCCCTTGTCTGTGCAGACGGAGACCTCACAGATACCATCAGCGGCCCCCGCTCCACTGCCTCGGACCTGACCAGTAGCAAGGCATCCACCAAGAGCCCCACCCAGCGCCATAACCCCTTCAACGAGGAGCAGGCCGAGACGGCCTCCTCTGACTCCACCCCTGTGCACGCGACCTTGCAGGAGAATGACGAGGCCCAGGCCCCAGACCAGCAGGATGCCTGTGCGGAGCTTGAAGTTATCAGGTCAGCAGGGAGGGAGCTGGGACAAGCTGGGGTCACAGGTGCACGCCAGAGAACAGGCACAAAGTTCGACCCCCTCTCTCCTCCCATGTCTCCCACCCATTGCCCTGACCGCCTTCCTCTGCTGGCTTCTAATCCTGAGTTTTGTCCCTCGCTTTACAAATGTGAAACCTAGGCTGGCCTCAAACTCACCATCCTCCTGCCCCAGCCTGCCAGTGCTGGGAAGTCAGTGCACATTCTGCGATCTCTCTAGGTTTGGGTCTAGTTGGGCCTGCTTCATGGTTCAAGTCTTTGACACATGGACAGGAGCATACAAAGGACAGAGGAGAGGCCTCTTGGCCAGTCTCAGCTCTCTGACCTCCCTTGGGCCCCACTCTGAGAACCCTCCACACCAAATGAGAGATGCTCCATATCCTATCATACCTGGCCTGAGGCAGGGGCATTTCTTTCGAAGATTTGGGCCTGGGACATACATAAACACACACACACACTATCATTTAAGCTGGTTAAAGTACACAGCAACTTCAGTGAACTCAGACCTGAGATGGCCGAGCCAGGCCCGTCCCAGTCACCTTAGAACCAAAGTGTAGGGGGAAGACGATGAGCCCAGAAACTCTGAGGCATTTCTGGACATAACATCCATTCACACTGATACCTAATGGAAAGGATCCGTTGTTTACTTCCTGAGGGGAACGTCGGGTGGAGAGCCGCTGACTCAGTGAAGCTGGACAGCTTTGTTCACGTGGGCTTGTTTAGCTTTGTTTTGTTTTCTGAGACAAGGTCTCGCTGTGTAGCCCTGGTTAGCCTGTAACTTGATATGTAGACCAGGTTTGTCTTAAATGTCTCCTGCCTCTGCCTCCCGAGTGCTGGGACTATAAGTTTACACACCAGCAGGTCTGGCTGCTAGCTCATTTCTATCACGTAGAATTTGTAGGCCTGCTCAAGAACCATTCAGGCCTGTCTTGTGCTGTTGTCGCTCCTGCCCATCTCCGCCAGCACCAGGACACCATAGGCCTCCTGCCTTGCACTGCCCAGGACCACATACCCTCGGGATTGCCTGTCTGACCCAGCCTGTTTCCCTCTGTGGGTGCTTCCGTGTTAATGCCCTCTCTGTCACTGCCATGCAGGGTCACCAAGAAGAAGAAAACTGGTAAGAAGAAAAAGAGCAAATTGGACGAGGAGGCAAGCCCGCTGCACCCCACCTCTAGCCAGCAGAGATGCAGCAGGCAGGGGGATGGTGACAGACTTGTGGGTACCCCAGGCCTGGCACGGGACTCTTCAGACACTGCCCTTGCCTCCCCTCAGGACCTGGGGGAAGGGCCGAGCAGTGCCGCTGAGAGCAGTGAGCCCTCAGAGCTCAGCCAGGTGGGCTTGCTGATCCCCGAGATGAAGGACACTTCCATGGAGTGCCTGGGACAGCCCCTGAGCAAGGTCATTGACAAGCTCCACGGACAGCTGGACCCTAGCACCTGGTGCTCCCATGTCGACCCCCCTGACCAGCCCTTTCGGACGGGCTCCCCCGGGGAGGCCCCGGAGAAACCACCATTTTGTGACTTTAGTGAGGGGCTTCCAGCCCCCATGGACTTCTACCGGTTTACAGTTGAGAGTCCAAGTACTGCTGCACCAGGTGGCGGCCACCATGACCCTACAGGGCCTAGCCAACCGCTGCATGTTCCTTGTGGCCCTGAGGCTGCTCTCCAAGAAGAAGAGGGAGGAAGAGGAGCGGGACAGGCATCTCAGCCCCTAGAGGACATGCAGGGGAAGGCTCAGGAGCCAGAGCCCCAGGAACTGGACAGCCAGTGGCCATTGGTCAGCCAGGAGCCTGTGCCTGAACCTGTGTCCCAGGCTGAACTTGGAACCCAGGATGCTCTTTGCAAGCTCAAGCGAGACCAGCCCAGTCCGTGTCTGAGCAGTGCTGAGGACTCCGGGGTGGAGGAGGGCCAGGGGAGCCCTTCCGAGATGACGCACCCCTCCGAGTTCAGGTGAGGGCTGTCTACGCCTGGGGCTGCGGGATCTGCCGGTCGGCATGGGTAGGCGGTCTAACCTGCTGTGGGAGCCAGAAAGGAGTGTGCCCTCCTGCCTGACCGCGGCTCCCCCTACCCTTGTTCCTGCCACAGAGTGGACAACAACCACCTACTCCTCCTGATGATCCACGTCTTTCGAGAAAACGAAGAACAGCTGTTCAAAGTAAGTCCCCGAACTGGGGAACCATCAAGCAGACACAGCCAAGGCCGGTAGTCCCCCGCACTGCTCAGTGCGCATGCGTGTCCGGCAGGGCGGGCGCTCTCGCTGAGTCCGGTGTGCTTTGGCCCTTAGATGATCCGGATGAGCACGGGGCACATGGAGGGCAACCTGCAGCTGCTCTACGTGCTGCTCACGGACTGCTACGTCTACTTGCTTCGGAAAGGTGCCTGCCGCCCCAGGCCAGGGTGGGTGGGGTTGCGCTCCTCCCCAGCCCCCTCCCCGCCCCCACTGTAGGCTTGTACTGAAGACAAGGTGTCGGGGAAGGTATTGCTAGCTGGACTGAGCACCCTGTCTGTCTGTCTTTCTGCTTCGCTGTCACTTCACATTGCAGGGCAAGGAGGGGTCTACTCTGCACCCCGGGGGCTGGGTCTTAGAAAATGGTGCTGGGGGAGGGAATAGAAGCCAGCCAGGGTAATAGGCATTGCGGTCTCCTCTCTCAGGGGCCACAGAGAAGCCATACCTGGTGGAAGAGGCTGTTTCTTACAATGAACTTGACTATGTGTCGGTGAGTGCTCTGCAGTTGGGGTACCCGCCGAGGTGTGGGGCTTCTTGGGCCGCCCCTGCTGAGAGCTGCAGAGCAAGGCCCATTGGGGGATGGGTGCCAACATTCACAGAGGCCTCTGTACATGTGCTGGAGACAGAGGTCAAGGGTGAAGATGCCTCCTCCGGCACCAGATCTCTGGCCATCTTCCCTAACTCATGCCAAACCCCAGATCCTGGTCAGGGGCCTTCCTAGTAGTGCCTCCAAACGTGGTTGCTCCCTTCCCAGTCCCAGCCAACCCTCAGTCCACCACGCTGCCCCTTCTGCTGGGCAGCGGCCAAGCCCCTGTGTGGTTTCTGGCAGGTTGGCCTGGACCAACAGACTGTCAAGCTGGTGTGCACCAACCGCAGGAAGCAGTTTCTGCTGGACACGGCTGACGTGGCCCTGGCTGAGTGAGTGTCAGCCCCTACCCCTCAGCAGGACAGGAGAACCAGCCTCTGCCATGGCCATGGCCCTGGCTGGGGGTAGAAGGAGACACCAGTCTGTCCCCCCAAGAGCCTGCGGTCTGCTCTGAGAGGCAGGGAAGTGGACAGTCACTGACCGACTGACTCACGTCAGCCCAGGTGACCTCAGCCCCTCAGGACCCATGGAGAGGAAGGGGGCTGGTGTGAGGTCCAGTGGGGAGGGGAAGCCCAAGAGCTAGGCTGCTGTCCTGGGCATGCCCTGGACAACGGACGTGGGAATTACATGTAATGAGATGGTGTCTGTACTGACTGGAATGGCCAGCACTCTGTGTCAGAATCCAAGGTCCCTTGGACACAAGGAATGGTCAGGCCTTTTCTGGCAACCAGTGAGGCGGGGCTCAGGCCCCGTCATTGGTCATTGCCCACTGCTGCCCTGCTCCCAGCAGCCTCAGCCCTTCCTTTCTGTGAGCTCTCTGGCCAGGCCTTCTCAGGACAAAGCCCAACTGCTGAGGGCCTGTCCACAGGCCTCTGACAGCAAACCGCACTCTGCACAGGCTCTTCTTGGCGTCTCTGAAGTCAGCCATGATCAAAGGCTGCCGGGAACCACCCTACCCCAGCATCTTGACTGATGCTACCATGGAGAAGCTGGCGCTGGCTAAATTTGTCGCCCAGGAATCCAAATGTGAGGTCAGTGGGCTGGGGAGGAAACTCCATTGACCAACACCGGCCTGCCGTGGTTTAAGGCTAAGTAATACAAAGGGGTACCGTTGGCATTTCTCAGTCACCTCATGGGAAGAGCTTTCCTCCTCTGGGCCCTGTCCTCTTGCCTGCTTATCTGTGTCCCAAAGTTCCCTTGCTCTCACGTGGCTGTTCTAGAGGCTGGGTTATGGGGAAGCTAAGGCCTGGCCTCGGCTCTGCGGGTGCCTCACCGCTTTTCGGTCACCTCCATGCATAGGCATCCACTGTGACTGTGCACTTCTATGGGCTCGTGCACTGGGAGGACCCCATGGATGAGGCCCTGGGCCCTGTTCCATGCCACTGCTCACCTCCTGAGGGCACCATCACCAAAGAAGGCGTGCTGCACTACAAGGCTGGAACCTCCTACCTGGGCAAGGAGCACTGGAAGACGTGCTTCGTGGTTCTCAGGTGGGAGTGGCAGCCGGGGGCCCCGGGGAGGTGTCGGTCCCTAGCAGAAGCAGCCCAGGGCGGATGCTTCCCTTCTCCACACTGCTGTGAGCTCCCCCAGGCCTGCAGAGCTTTTCTGAATAGCCAGTTCGCTGGACCCAGGGTCCCCAGGTGCCTAAGCCAGCGCTGGTGACAGACCTTCAGCTGTGCCCAGGATTTCCAGGGACAGTGTTCCACAGCCACTCTGATTCCTTTCTCAACCCCTCCTTAGAAGACAGGTCCCTGGTTCCCAACCAGGATGAGGGGGGGTTCCTGGGTTCTTCTTAGCCAGGCCTCACCTCACTGTATTGTGACCCTGTAGCAATGGGATCCTCTACCAGTATCCTGACCGCACCGATGTCATCCCTCTGCTCTCAGTGAACATGGGGTAAGTGTCCCAGGAAAAGAGGACTGGACAGGTGTCCTGCCTGGAGGTCAGCACTGGCTGAGTCTGAAGCTGAGAGCTTGCTGTCCTTTTGCCCCGCACCTCACCTTATCCCTGTAGCCCAGACTAGTGCCTTGGGCTTTGCAAGACATGAGCAGCCATGGAGGCAGCATGAACAAGGAGGCACCCTTGTGCCTGGAGAAAGGAGCCTCAGGAAGTCCCCACCCATTGAGGGGCAGACCTCAGGGGAAGTAGATGAGTGGGCACTGGTTCTGAGCAGGTGCTGTGAGTGGCTTGGAACTCTCACCTAGCCATGCTTGGGTATCCAAGGCAGTTTTGGCAATTCTAGAGAGATGGGTTGTCATTATAACCAGGTGCACATTTCTAATCCAGTGTGGGAGGTAGAAGCCGGAGAGTCAGAAATTCCAGGTCATCCTCTGCTACATAACAAGTTCCAGGCTAGCCTGGGCTACATGCGACCCTGTCTCAAAAGGCAAACAAAACAAAACAAAAGCTGTTACACAAAAATGGTGGGGTTGCTGGGCATATGCAAACGTCGCTAGAGGCAGAGGCCCAGTGTCAGCGCACCTCAGCCAACCCCAGGGTTCCCGCTCCAGCCTCCTCACTCCCATTTCACCCTCCTCCTCTGGCCCAGGGGGGAGCAGTGTGGCGGCTGCCGGAGAGCCAACGGCACGGATCGGCCCCACGCCTTCCAGGTCGTTCTGGCCGACCGGCCCTGCCTGGAGCTAAGCGCTGACAGCGAGGCCGAGATGGCCGACTGGATGCAACATCTCTGCCAGGCCGTGTCCAAAGGAGTAAGCACCCGTTTCCACTATCGTCCGCCCAGCCTGGCCCATCCAGAATCTCCAGGGTCCCGTCCCCAAACACACCAGCCACAGAGACGCCTGGGAGGACCAAAGTGGTAGACGCTGGGGGCCAGCCCAGGAATGAACCCAATCTCAGGGCACGTTGCCGCCTGGATCGTTCCCCGCTCCCCTCCTCACACTGCTAGGGTGGGAAGCGGCTACAGGGGAGTCCTGCTGCTGGCCACCCTGGGAGAAACAGCCTGCGTCTCTCACCCGCTACCATCCAGGTCATACCGCAGGGGGTGGCTCCCAGCCCCTGTATCCCTTGCTGCCTGGTGATCACCGAGGACCGCCTCTTCACGTGCCACGAGGATTGCCAGACCAGCTTCTTCCGCTCCCTGGGCACAGCCAGGCTGGCGGACATCAGTGCCATCTCCACGGAGCTGGGCAAGGAGTACTGTATCCTGGTGAGTGGGCAGGGATCGGGGGACAGGCCTTGCCCGAGGATGTCCGTGCATCCTCACCCCGAACCTGCTGTCCCTAGGAGTTCTCCCAGGATAGCCCACAGCTGCTCCAACCCTGGGTCATCTATTTGAGCTGCCCTTCTGAACTGGACCGGTTCCTGACTGCCCTGAGCTCCGGGTGGAAAGCCATCTACCAGGTACCTCGCCATTATGGGGACCTGGCCTCACCTACAGGGTTTTGGGGACAGCGATTTGCCAACTACTCTGAGACAGACTAAAAATTAGGGACAAAGGGGCAAGCCCCAATGTCTGTCAAAGCTAAAATACGCCACCAGGAGTGGCCCTTCCTGGCCTGAGCTCCAGTCCCTGTGAGACTCATGGTGGGCATGCATGGGGAGATGCAAGACAGGCCCTCCCCTTCCCCTGAGCTGGAAGCGCTCCTGTCCCTAGAGAGGGAGTGCCTTTTGGTTTTAAGACAAGGTCTTTTGCATCTCTGTCTAGCCTGGAACTCAAAGGGGACCCTCTGCCTGGCTCCTGGGATTAAAGGCACCTGCCACCACAACCAGGAGAGCAACCTTTTTTTTTTTTACCCTGTGCCTCTGAGGCAGCTCTAACCTTAGTCAGAGGTAGGAACAAGCCAAGGACAGGTACCCTGGTCCAGTGAAATCCAGGCAGACCAGAGAGCTGGGCCTTGGGCTGTCTGTATGCAGAGCAGGAGGGAAGCTCGCACCATGTAAGATGTCCCCAGAGGAATGTGCAGGGCCCTTCCGGTCTTCCATGTCTTCCGGGAAAGCAGCCTGTACTCTGAATGCACCCTGCTTGTCCTCACACAGGTAGACCTCCCTCACAAAGCAATTCATGAAGCTTCCGTCAAGCAGAAGTTTGAAGACGCCCTGAGCCTCATCCACAGCGCCTGGCAGCGGAGCGACAGCCTGTGCCGAGGCAGAGCCTCCCGGGACCCCTGGTGCTGAGGCGTGGCTGGGCAGCACTGTAGGCAGGCAGGAAGGAGGCGGGCTGACCAGCATGTCCACATGTCCACACAGCGGTGAGCTGTTTCGGAGCTGGCTGTCCACAGGCCTCTACAGGCCACTCCTGCCTTGGGGCGGCGGAACCGCTAGTGTGGCTTGGGACAGGAATCCAGAGTGGGTGCCCAGCGCCCTAGGCATCCGGCCCCACAGCAGTGACTAGAGGTCACTGGGGCAGAAGGTCTGAGCCCTGTGGGCTCTGTAGACACATGGTGTCCCCTGGGTCACCACCTTAGTCCTCACCATCTGCTCAGGGTGGCCGTGAGGATAATAGTATCCAGTTAAGGGGGAGCAAAGAGACCAGGAGGATGGGCGTGCCATCTTCCTCTCCCGGGTCAGGGGCCTGGGCAGATAGGTGGTCAGGGCCCCCTGGGGGTCCTGAGTGCCCAGCCTTCCTTGTTCGTTTTTGGAACACTGTCCTCACTGCGCAGGGAACCGGGAACACTGGCTATCTGTGCATGCCTCCTCACGCCCCCACCCTGTGCACAGTGGCCCGCCTTGCACGGCCTGGGCCCAGCCCTCCACAGCTGCCGGGAGGCCCCGCATGTCCACAGCCTCCCTTCTTAAGTACAGCAGAGTTTGGGGGACCCAGGGATCAGTTGGCCCCTCTTTCGAGGAGCAAAGGAGAGGGGTGGAGAGAAGAGCAGGGCCCGTGAGCCTGGTGGCCACTTTGATACCTAACTGACCCCTGCTTGGCTGGAGCTAGCCCTTCCTGAGGTCTCTGTTAGGTCCCCTGGGGGACAGGTCAGGTGATTGGGTTTTGTTTTTTAAAATAAAATTGATGTTATATTGCTGAGACTTGTCACTGGCCCTCTTTAAGGTGAGGGGGGTGGAGGAGAACGCCCCACCCTCCCTCACTGCCGAGTATCCGTTGTCCACTCTGTGGCTGACACTCCCACACACGGAAACATCACCAGCTCTGCCTTGGCTGCTTCCGTGGCTCCGCTAGCTGGAGGCTGAAGAAGGCCCTGGAAGTCCCTGCATGTTCCTGTGTCCTGCGAGGCCGCCCCAAGTGGGAGGCTGGTAAAGGAAAACGGCTGGAACCGCAAAGATTGCTCTTCCTGGTGGCCCTTATTTCACCCCATCCCACCCAGGGACCCTGCAGTGTTTGGGTGAGCGAGGCTGAAGTGCTAGAAGCTGGGGACACTGGAGGGGCGTGGCAGCAGGTTTTCACACATCAGTCTCCCGCAGGCTGGAGTCAGACACGTGCCCCGGTTTGAATGGGGGTCGCAGCATGCACAGACGTGGCTCACCCGGTGGTCCAGTGTGTCTGTGCGCTTGGTTTTCATATCCACTGGTGGTGGAGCAGGATTTGTGTTCGAGTACCCCTTTTTTATTTAATAATTAAAAGTTGTCCTCTGGGCTGGAGAGATGGCTCAGCCGTTAAGAGCACTCACTGGCTGTTCTTCCAGAGGTCCTGAGTTCAATTCCCAGCAACCACATGGTGGCTCACAACCATCTATAATGTGATCTGATGCCACCTTCTGGCATGCAGATAGACCACTTCATATGCATAAATAAAATAAATCTTAAAAAAAAAAAAGTCCTCTGACCACCATACACATCTGTGTCATATGTGTATCCCCCCCCCACACATACATGCACACACACATACAGGATAACAAGCTATATAGTGAGACCCTGTCTGGAAAAAAAAATAGACATTGACTTTAATGGTGTTTTCTGGGTGTGGTAGTGCACACCTTTAACCCCAGCACTCGGGAGGCAGAGGCAGATGGATCTCTGTGAGTTCCAGGCCTGCCTGGTCTACAGAGTTAGTTCCAGGACAGGCAAGGCTACGCAGAGAAACTGTCTTTTTTTTTTTTTTTTTTTTTTTAAGATTTATTTATTTATTATGCAAACAGTGTTCTGCCTGCACACAGGCCTACACACCAGAAGGGCCACCAGATCTCATTGTAGATGATTGTGAGCCACCATGTGGTTGCTGACAATTGAGTAAACCTCCAACAACCTCTGGAAGAGCAGCCAGTGCTTTTAACCTCTGAGCCATCTCTCTAGCCCCCGAGAAACCCTGTCTTAATAATAATTTAAAAAAAAAAAAAAAAAAAGACATTAATGGGGTTGGAAAAATTGCTCAGTTTGGAGCACTGGACTGGCTGCTCTTCCAGAAGACCTGGGTTCGATTCCCAGAACCACCCACGTGGGATCCCACAATCTGTGTAACTCCAGTTCCAGAGGACACAACACCCTCTCTGGTCTCCACGGGCACCTGACACACACATACACGCAAGCATGGCTATGCACACGTGAACCACCAGCACTTGGGGAGGGGGTCAGAGGCAGATGGAGACTGCCATGAGTTTGGAGTTGGCCTGGGCAGCACAGTGAGTCCCTGGGAATTCGACACCATCTCACGTGAAACCAGACAATCTCACCAACAGCACTGCAGGGCTCTGGGGTCCTCCCTTATCTTCCCTTCTGTTGAAATGGAACTATAAATCCGGGCGTGGTGGTGCACACCTTTAATTCTAGCACTGGGAGACAGAGGCAGGTGGATCTCTATAAGTTTTTGACCACCTTGGTCTACATAGCTAGTTTCAGGCCAGCCAGGGTTACATTACCTGTCTGGAAAAGAAAAAAGAAAAGACAGGGCGTGGTGGTGCATACCTAGAATCCCAGCATGAAGGGAGGCAGAGGCGGACTGATCTCTGTGAGTTGGAGGCCAGCCTGGTCTACTAAGTGAATCTAAGATAGCCACAGCTGCACAGAGAAACCCTGTCTCGAAAAACAAATAAATAAATGGCCTTTTTTTTTAAAAAAAAAAAAAAAAAGAAAGAAAATGGAGCTATAATCTGAGGGAATCAGATTGGAAGATTGGAGACCCGAAAAAAGGGAGTCACACAGGCTGTGGCAGATGTAGAAATGGGACAGTTGCTGTTAGCCTGTGCAGCTCATGCCTAGGCCAACTCACCACACGCCTGGGGCTTTAGCTGGAGCCTGACAGGGACTAGAGATAGGTCAGGAAGTCTGGAGGACAAGGAGGACCGCCCTCCCCTACTCTTGGGCTCTTTCTTCCTGCCCCACTCTCCTCCCAGTCCCAAGTGACCTTTCCCCCAGATCCCAGGGTCCAGGCCCGCCCTGGCCAGCAGCAGCTGGGATTGGTCTGAGCCAGAGGAGGTGTATCCAGATTCCCACAACCCTGTCTGCCGAACAGCAGGTGGAGTTCCAGGACAGACCAGAGCCCTCCAGCAAGTGACAGGATCTCTGTCCTCTGGATATGGCGCTTGTCCCTTGAGCCCCAGCCCTGTGGCCACACAGGGGTGCAGACATCCTGGACCTGCCACTATGGCCTGTGCCGTGACCCTGACCCGGGCACAGACGGCTCCTGGCATGGATACGGGGGAGACGGTGTCCCCGGCAGTGGACCTGGTGCTGGGTGCCTCAGCCTGCTGCCTGGCCTGTGTCTTCACCAATCCCCTGGAAGTGGTAAAGACCCGTCTGCAACTGCAGGGGGAACTGCAGGCCCCAGGCACCCACCCACGACCCTACCGGGGTTTTGTGTCCTCTGTGGCAGCCGTCGCCCGGGCAGATGGGCTGTGGGGCCTGCAGAAGGGGCTGGCCGCCGGCCTTCTCTACCAGGGTCTCATGAATGGTGTCCGTTTCTACTGCTACAGCCGGGCATGCCAGGCTGGCCTCACCCAGCAACCAGGTGGCACTGTGGCCGCAGGCGCTATGGCTGGGGCTTTGGGAGCCTTTGTGGGGAGCCCTGCTTACCTGGTGAGTGTCTTCTCTGCCTTTACCACTCCATGACCAGCATGACCAGTGGACTCTGTGGCTCTGGGTTGGGCAGGGCAGTTTGGGAGGGGACTGTTCACTGGGAATATCTGGCTCAGACCTGGAATCTGCCCTCCTCCCTCTGACCCTTGCTCCTTTGGGGCCCATGCCCGCTGGTTTTAACCGGGAGAAGGAACAGGTTACAAAGTAGGTAGACTCCATTCTCGATTGCCCATGCTTACTCCTAGAGAGCCTGGCATACAGTAGGATAAAAGGTGCCTCAGAGCAAAGGCTGTTGTGTCCTGGTGTGGGCAATGAACGTCATTTTCCTCTGTCCCCAAGAGGGGCAGGACAGAGGCCCGAAGATCTCCTTAAGAAACCTGAGCCACCAAGATGCAAATCGAGGCCTCGGGGATGTGGCTTAGTTGGTGGTGTGCTTGCCCGCATGTACTAACCCCCGGGTTTGCTCCCAAGCACACATAAGCCAGGTGTGGTGCCGCCTGCCTGCCCATAATCCCAGCACTTGAGAGGTGGAAGCAGGAAAAATCAGAATTAACGTCATGGTGGCATAACTAATTTGAGGCCAGCCTGGGGTAGATGAGACAGTGTCCCACATTAGAAAATAAAAAAGCGAACGCTGGCCGATCCAGGCTGCCCCCACCCCCAAGCTTCAGATGTGGGGTCAGGGATGCCCTGCAGGGAGTGTGGGCTCAAACACGCTCAGCTCAGCTCCCAGCCTCTATTTGAGAGCCCCCATCTGCCCTCATCTGTACTCCCAGGTCAAGACACAGCTGCAGGCCCAGACGGTGGCCGCGGTGGCCGTGGGTCATCAGCACCAGCATCAGGTATGGCATCTTTCCCAGACCCAGGGCCCCAGACTGTGGAGGGCCTGTGGCTGTCTAGTGATCCATTTTCTCTCCTCCCTGCAGGGTGTCCTGGGGGCCTTGGAGACCATCTGGCGTCAGCAGGGCCTACTGGGGCTGTGGCGGGGTGTAGGGGCGGCTGTGCCCCGAGTCACAGTGGGCTCCGCTGCCCAGTTGGCCACCTTTACTTCTGCCAAGGCTTGGGTACAGGAGCGACAGGTAGGGGGCCGGGAACACCTACACACACTGGGGAGGGGTTCCCACTTCTTTCATACAGAGGTGGTGTTAGATAGGATCCAAAACAAAGTCCTGTTGGGACCCACTTTCGTTCCTAACATTTAGGCTGCTGAGGCAGGAGGATCAAGATGCTTAAGGTGGTCCTCAGCTACAGAGTTCAAAGTCAGCCTAGGCTGCCTACATGAGACCCTGTCAAAAGAGAAAAAGAGAGGACAACAGAAAGAGGGAAAGGAAGGGAGGAGAAATGGGTAGAGGGGAGGGAAAGAGAAGAGAAGAGAAGGAGAGAGGGATAGAGGGGAAGGAGAAGGAAGGAGGGGCTGGTGGAGGAAGAAAGGAGTTACAGCTAAGGACAGCGATTCTCACCTGTAATCTCAATACTTAGAAGGTGGAGGCAGGAGGATTGCAAATTGGAGAAGAACATGATGCATAACTAGACTTGTCTCGACAAAAAGAGTTCAAGGAAGCATGGGATAGGGGAAGAGGAAGAAATTTAAGTTGTTGGCTCTGCCGCTATAGTTGTGACCTAGCCTACCTCATGTTCAACAGGAGTTTAGAGGTCATCAGTGAACCCTGAAATCATGGAGAAATGCAGGGTTGGCACTGGGGGATTGAGAATGGCTGGAGAGGTCTGATGGGCTCATCTGCCCCAGCCCATCCAGCCCTTCCAGCCCTCATGGGCTTGGGGCAGGGAGAGCACACAGGGGTGGGTAAGGGCGGTGGGTAGGGACAACAGCCTGTGCCGTTCCGACAGTGGTTTTTGGAGGACAGCTGGCTGGTGCCCCTGGCTGGAGGCATGATCAGCAGTATAGCTGTGGTTGCAGTCATGACTCCTTTCGACGTGGTCAGCACTCGGCTATACAATCAGCCGGTGGACGGAGCTGGCAGGGTGAGCGGGGGACAGGGGAACGGAAGACGTGGGGGGACAGGGGACACATACACAGCCACTAGGGGACATAATTACAACACATTAACAGGCATGCCCTAAGCCTCTAACTAGGTTTTATTCTGTTTCCTGATGAGGAAATCGGCTCAGAGAGACCTGGCTGAGGTCGACCAGATGATCAGTGGAAAAGGCGGGGCTGAAATCCTGTGGTAATGCCAACAGGAAGTGTCAGGACAAAGGTGCCTGCATGCTGATATCCAAGCTGCACCCCTGAAGGAGCCTATCTGCCTCAAGGAAAAGGCTCCTTTTTATTAACATCACAGCCTGTAATCCCCAGTGGGGAGAGGTGTTTCTTCTAACACACCAGTAGACCCATTCGGCTTTGCCTCTGGGACCTCTCACCCCTCACCCATGTTTATCCCCAGGGCCAGCTGTACAGGGGCCTCGCTGATTGCCTGGTGAAGATCTGTCAACAGGAGGGACCCCTGGCCCTCTACAAGGGCCTAGGCCTTGCCTATCTGCGCTTAGGCCCCCACACCATCCTTAGCATGTTCTTCTGGGATGAGCTGCGGAAACTCACAAGGGGCCAACACCAGGGCACCTAGCTCATCCCTCCTCCCACCGCCAAGCCTGCTGTCTGGTGGAAGTGATGGCTGCTTCACTAGGACTGGCTACCCAGAGCCAGCTTGAGTCAAGCCCTCCCAGAGGCCAGCAGGAGGGGGCAGGAGACAACTGTGCTCAACTGAGGCCCAGGACCAGTGCGTCCCAAGTTACCATCTTTGTTTCCTTAATGCCCCTGGGTTACCTCGCCCTAGCGCACTGCCACAGCCATGGCTGCAGGTAATCAGCCCCGTGAGCAGAGCTGCGCTGGCTCCTCAGTCCTCCGCCTCTCTCACCTGAAGGCAGACATCACTCTGGCCGGAGCCACACAGCTCTGTGGCGACAGAGCCAGGACGGGAGTTCAATCTGCCCACCCCCACCTCCAGTGATCCCCACAAGGGCACTGCTATGTCAGAACTGTTGGGCTGTGTATCCCTCAGAGGCCACTGCAGGTGAGGAAACCCCCGGCTGTGCCACAGCGGAGGCCTTCGTGTCCCCAGAGTCTGGTTGGCCAAGGCCGATTACCCAACAAAGTTCTAAAGCCTTGATAGCTCGAAGGACAAAAACCTGTTTCCTTCCCTTCTGGCACCCAGAAGCCCAAGAAGAAAGGATTGGCTGCGCTAGCTTCTCTCTTTACTTTTATTTCTCATATCTGTGGTGCTGTGGCGGAGCCAGGGCCTGGGCATGTTAGTCACGTGATCGGCCCAGGGCTGACTTCTCCGAAGTCCTCTCTCCTCAGCTTTGAGAAGAGCAGCTTCTTCCTGTCTTCCCTGTCCATCTGAGTCGAATCTCAGGCTGGGAACAGACCAGTTGGCAGACTGCCTGCCTGATGCTCGTAAGATTTCCGGGTTCTATCCCCAGCACCGAATTAACTGGGCATGAGGGCACAGGCCTGTAACTCAGCACTGGGGAGGTAGAGCTAGGAGGATCAGAAGTTCAAGGTCATTTTCAGCTACATAGTGAGTTTGAGGCCATAATGGACTTGATGAGAGCCGGAGAGGAGGAGAGGGAGGGAGGGAGTTAGAGAGGAAGGAAGAAGAGGGAGAAACAGAAGAGAGGGGAAAGGGTCAGGGACTGGGACAGGGTAGAGAGACAGGCAGGGGAATCCAGTTATGATGGATAGAGCCCACACAGGAAATGCATCCTACAGAGGGGCTACCATCATCTCCACAGTCACCTGAGGGACTGGGTTAGGACTTCAGCAGGAGTCTGGAAGCATCACCGAGTTCCGGCTTCCCTTTTGTATACATCCAGAGGGAACTCAGACAAGGAGATGGAGGCCTAGGGAAGAGGGTACCTGCCCTCATGGGTCACAGGGCAGAGCCAGCTGCAGGGCCAAGGACAGACTCTTGGGTCCTCTCTCCAGACGCAGCCACACCTGTGTGTAAGGCACCCAGCAGCCTTTCTACTAGAGAAGCGGACACCATCTCTAGGCCAGGCAGCTCCAACCACCCTCCCCAACCACATCCCAAGAGCAAAAAACTGTCCCAGATGAACACTCCAATAAAGTTTTGTATTTTGTATACTCTCGAGCCTCCCCCTCTGCTTTCCTGCTCCTGCTCTCAAGCCCTTTCTAGGAAGTGACCCAGAGAGCGGCAGCCACCTGCCCAGGTCAGGCCTGCCGCCTAGTGGACCCAAGAGGAACAGAATGACCCGGAGGCGGGCTGCACTCAGGTCTTAAGGGGATTCCAGACCCTTCGTTCCCTGCGGCCTGCAAAAACTGCACTACTTTTCCGAAGTCTGGAGAGACAAGAGTCAGAAGAGACCTACGCTGTGGAAAGACGCCCTGGCTTTGGGAACATTGAGTGGCGAGGACTCACACTTCGGAGCACACCTGAGTCTGGGAAGGCCAGGCGAGCCCGTAGAGGTGGGACTTCCGGAAGGCACGGTGGGCTTGAAATCTAGCGGGGACAGAGCAGCACCAGCTACGTGCTTTGCCTTTGAGGCCTAAATGGGAAGCCACTAGCAGCGGCGGGTTTACGGCGTCCCTGATTCCGCAGCCTAGAAGTTGTCTAAAGCCTCCGGTTCTCCTGCCCCGCCCCCAGGCCTCTGACCCCTTCCTAATCCCTCCCCTGTCCTCCAGAGACACCTTTGACCGGTGATGTCATTGGGTCTGTCCCAGTGCAGACCCAGTCCGAGGCTGGGGCCGGGTTCCTGGAGGCTGCCATGTTCTCCCTGCCCTCCTTGTTCTCCTGGCTCCCCGACCTCCCTTCCTTTGAGTGGGGTTCCAGTCTCTTCCACAGCCTCCTGCAAGGTGAGCGCCTCCGGGATGCACACCTGGAGCCCGCCCCTCCCTCGGGTGGGTGGAGTGCAGGGCTGGGCCCCACCACCCACGTGAGAGCCTCCGCACCTGCCCGTCCCCTGCGCTCACCCCGCCGCGACCACCCGACGGTGCTAACGCCGCTTCACCCTCTCCTTTGTCCTGCTCAGGCCTGATCGGGGCCCTGGGAGTCTCTGTTCTCAACAGTCTCTTGAAGGTTTACTTCTTCGTGGCCTGTGTCAAGTGAGTGCCCGCATCCGTGCCACCCAGCCCTGCCAGGGTGGATGAGGGACCCGCGCGGAGGCTGGTCCCTCTTGGAGAGGGCGAGGAGTGGGGCTGGGGACCTGACACCCTCCCGGGACGGGACACCGTGATCCTGATTCTCAGCCCGCACTCGTTCTGCCCCCACAGTGACCCCCAGCGGCAGCCCCAGAAGCAGCGGCTGCGAGCGCAGTGGGCCTCCTTGGAGGCCGTGCACCTGGCTGGCCTGGCCCTGCTCCTGACCGTGGTGGGGACTAGGGTAGCCGCCCTCGTGGTCCTGGAGTTCTCCCTTCGGGCTGTTTCCACAGTGCTGTCCCTGGGCAAGGTGAGACTGCAGGGTGGAGCCGCTCTGGGCCGCTCTCATCCTCTGGATTGGGGTGTAGGGCCTAGAGGGGTCCTCTTTTCCTTCAGATGGAGACCAGAGATTGCAGTTTGTTAACTTGGGAGTTTTGACTGCCAAAAAAACAACCAACCAACCAAACAAACAAACAAAAAACGGCAACACAAGATCGTTTCCCTACCCCCACCCTGTCCCCATGTGTATGTCAGTTCTGTGAGCTGGGAATGTGGCTCAGTTGGTAGAGGGCTTGCCTAGCATGCACAAAGCCCTGGGTTTGATCCCCTGCACCTGTGTGAACCCAGGCATGGTAGCTCATGCCCATAATTCCAGCACTCAAGAGGTGGAGGCAGAGGATGAGAGGTTCAGGGTCCATCCTTGACTAACTATTGGGTTTGAGGCCAGCCTGGACCACATGAGATCTTGTTGTCCCCCCCTCAAAAAAAAAAAAAAAAGGCTTAGTTGCAAGATCCCTGGCTAAATAGCTTGAGGGTTCAGCCCATTCTGTCATGACAGCTGTAATGATTAAGGGTCTTGTTGGAGCTCCACAAGTGGGGAAACTGAGGCTCAAAGGAGCACATGGTTTGTCTGTGGTCAACAGTCGTCAGGGAGTAAGGTGTGAAGTCAGGTCTTCAAGGCCTAGAGCCATCACCCTCCAGCAAAGGAAACTGCCCTTCGGGGGCCGTCTCCTACTGTGCAGCCTAGCTCGGGCTCCCTTCCCCTGCAGGGCACCGGGGACAAGGAGCGACTCCAGCTCTACCTGGTGTGCCAGTTCTCTCTGGGCTGCGGGCTCAGCTGCGGCCTGAGCTTCCTGCAGGAAGGTGCCCCGCGCCGCTCCCTGAACCTGCTGCTGAGCCTGGGGCTGGCCGCGCTGCTGGGCTCGGCTGCACGGCGCCTCCGCCGACACATCTGCAGCCTCTACGAGCTGCACAGCAGCCAGCGCTACTGTGGGGTCTGTTTGGGCCTGCTGGCCAACCAGCACGGCCTGCCCAGGCTCCTGGGCCGCACTCTGGCAGTGGCTTTTGCTGTGAGTGACCTGGCAGCCGTGGCCCTCATCAACCAGGACTTCCTGAACACGTCAGAGGCTGTGCGCTTCTGGACGCCGCTCACCATCTGCTACACACTGCTGATCATCTACATGCAGGGTGAGAGCCCCAGGGCTGGGCTCCCATCCCTTGGCCACACTCCCTTGTCATCGCTGCCACCCAGTCCAGGGACAGGACTTGGACTGTACCATGGGTGTTCCGTGGGCCGCTCGGAGCAGCAATAGGGGAGCCCTAAAGAGCTGGTGCCTGGGTTGGTCTTGAGGACTGGGTGAGGTGAAAAGGATTGTGGGCAAGAGAAATACCCACCAAAGCACAGAGTGAATGAGGGCGTGGCCGTGCGGAACCACAGAGTGGTCCAGGGTTGTTACCCCATGGGCAACAGAGCAAGGCTGGCCAAGCTTAGAAAGGCCTGACCCAGTGCCCTGGCGGTCAGTCTAGGCACAGTCCTAAGCAGGAGAGAGTGGCAGAGAGTGGCTGGTCAGATTTAGCCTCTAGGAAGAACCTGCTGGGTGCGTACCAGGAATCGCTAGGAGGTGGCAGAGCAAGGAAGGGAGGTCCAGGCAGTAGGAGCAGCAAGTGTGAAGACCCTGAGGTGGGAACAAGCCTCGGCAGGCTCCATGTGCAGAATGAGACGCCGGAATAGCTGGCGTTTTAAGTACGGGAGCATGAGAGATCGGGTAAGGATGGGGGAGGGGGCTTGGGCCAAACCAAGTCTAACCTCGTAAGACGAGGCTTGGATTAGAATTCTACTCCGGAAGCCATAGGACATCCTGGGAGCATTCTAAAATGGATGACAGAGGAGTGGTGTCATCTTATTGACATGTTTAGGCCACTTTAGCTGGTTAGTAGTGCTTGGCCAAGAACAAAAGTCAGGGGCCCCGAGAATGAGCTTCAGCGAGAGGGGAGTGTGGCTGGGACCAGGATGGAACAAGAGAGTGGAGCACTTGGATTGGGCTGTGGATAGATCCAACCCAGGGGTAGAAAGGCGTTAGATTCCTGCCACCTGACTAACAGGGCTCTGTCCCCAACCAGGGGGGGACTCGGGGGTGGCCGGTAAATCCTGTGGGTGCCCAGGGAGGGAAGCAGGGGTGCCGGAAGGCAGTCAGGGAAGGTGACACTGTCCCTGGGGAAAGCAGTTGAGAAGTGGGACGGGCTGGCCCCCGCTGACCTCCGGACAACCGCATCCCGCAGAGGAGCAGCGGCAACATCGCTTCAGCCTGCAGGGCCAGGTCCAGACGGTGCTGGTGCGCATGGGCGGCCTCTTCATCTTGTTGATGACTGTGGGCCGCTGGCTGGATCTCCTGGGTATCTTTTTCTCCTTTCTGGGCGAGCTATGCTGCTTGGCAGGCACTCGCACCCTAATCGACCTCTGCCAGATACAGGTGAGCGCCTTCATGTACCCCGAAGCTTCCCACCCTGCTCCAGAGGTTCCCAGCACCTTCAGAGGCCCAGTTTTGATAAGAGTTGACTCGGGAGGACAAGGGACCCGGTTGTCTTTTAGGTCACTAGGAGTGGGGAAGGTGGGTGGCAGGGACCATTCTGGCTGGCACCCCAGGGTTCCAGAGGGGTAGGGAGGCCTGCTGACAATGGACCCGAGGTTGACTGGGGAGCTTGTCCCTTCTGTCCCTCCCCCAGGGCTTTCCATCCCAGAGGCCTACAGTAACAGCAGCAGTAACACCAGGAAAGGGATCAACAGTGACAGATCCATGTGACACCCGGCCTTCCACACCTGCCCGGTCCAGAAGTGCTGTCTGCTCCTGACCTGCCCCCACAAAGGACTTGAAGTCAGTCTCAGGCCTACACAGGCTGACCAGCAAGGCCTCTACCACAAAAGGTCCCCACCTAGTGTTCAAGGCAGGCCATGGGGCCCCTGGAGAAAGGGGATGGCTAGGGCTGGGGACCTAGGAAGGTAGGGACATAAAGGCCCCCTGAGTAAACTCCCTTTCTCTTGAAGATGGGTAGCTTCATCAGACCAGCCTTTCCTGGCCAGGCAAGGAGGGCAGAGGACAACTGTGACCTCAGAATGGTCCCTGCCCCTCCCCCACCTTGCTCTCTCCACAAACAATAAAAGATGACTTTTTTTTTTCCAAGCTGTGTTGAAGATCACAGCGGCATAGAAAGAAAAAGAAGCTTCCTGAAGAGCGCGGGGTTTGGGGGCAGGATTCTGGGATATAAGCCTTAAGCCTGGCCCTGCCTTGAGTCTCTCCGGGGGACAAAGGACTCAGGCTAAAGCTACCAGGTTCTTCTGTCCCTGGACAAAGAATTTCATCGCGAACATGTGTTTGTCAGGATGGCGGGGAGGTAGAGAAGTTGCTCCGGGTCTGAGTGCAGCCCCTAGATCCCACATCAGGCACCTCACAGCTGTTTGTAGGAGGTTCCTTGGGAAATGATGCCTCTGGCCTCCTTAGACACTTGTATTCATGTCCACAGACATGCACAGAATTAAAAATCAGAAGTAGAGACAGTTAATAAAGAAAGGGAAAATGCGTGGCCTAGTGGTGGCGGCGCACACCTTTAGTCCCAGCCCTCGGGAGGCAGAGGCAGGTAGATCTCTGTGAGTTTGAGGCCAGCCTGGCTCACAAAGTGAGTCTAGGACAGCCAGGGCTATACAGAGAGAGCCTGTCTTAAAAAACAAGAAAAGAAAAGAAAGAAAGGGGAGACACTCTGGAAAATGAGAGTGGGCTAGTGATCTGGGAAAGGTGTTGGCTCAAAAGCCCTCAGGCTAGCCAGATTTGGTGGTGCACACCTCTAATCCCAGCACTAGGAAGGCAGAGACAATAGAGTTAGAGGGCAGCCTGGGCTACATAGTGAATTCCAAGCTGGCCAGGGCTACATAGTGAGTTCTAGGTTAGCCAGGGCTAAAAAAATAAAAATAAAAGAAGTACCAGGCCACATGGCTCGTGACCATTATAGGTCCCAGTTTTGCACCTGCCTTCTCCTTTTCCCCAAACATGTCTGTTGCTCGTGGCCCAGGCTGGGCAGGGCGTCTTCTGTGTTGACTGGCCTCCTCCATAGTTTAAACTTGCTGCTGCCGTTTCTGGTCTGGAATGTGGTGCACAGGCACCATACCGATGTGGCCAGGGAGGGAGGGAGGGTGGTAGAGGCCTAGTACCCACCTGTCCCGTTCCAGGATGAAACTACCCTTGGGTCCCCAGCCCCTTGATCCTAACTTGTTCAAGGTAATGAGGGCCCATCCTATCTCAGCCCTGCTCAGTGCCAAGATCAGGGGCAGAAAGGGCTGGGTACTCGCTCCCCCTACCTTCTGTGTGACCGTGGACAAGCTACTGACCCTCTCTCTGAGTCCATCTAAAAATTTCTACTGCTGAGGAGGGGAGCCTGCCAGTGCAGCCCTGTATTCCCAGCCTTTGAGAGGCAGAGGCAGGAAGATCTCTGTGAGTCCAAGTCCAGCCTGGTCTACAGAGCAAGTTCTAGGTCAGGTAGGAAGTTCCAGGACTGTCTAGAAAAAAAAAATAATTTACTGCCACCAAAAATGATGGCTCACGCTTTTAATTCCAGCACTTGAGAGGCAGAAGCAGGAAATCTCTTGTCAGTTCAAGGCCTGGTCTACATGGCAAATCCCAGGCTAGCACGACCACACAGGGAGGCCTGTCTCAAAAAATAAACTAAAAATTAATACTATATATTGAATGTTTATCATGTATTCAAGTACTGAAGATTTATTAACCTATTTTGACCCTCTGTCTTCTCCTTTCCTTTTCTTATTCTCTGCTTTGTTTCTGACACAGGGTCTCACTATGGCTGGTCTGAAACTTACTCTATAACCAGGCTGGCCTCAAATCCACAGAGATCTGTCTGTCTTTACCCTCTAAGGAAGAAGGTACTGGGGAAAAGATGCTGTGTGCTACCACATCCAACTCTGATTTTTTTTTCAAGTTTCTATTTATTTATTTATTTATTTATTTATTTATTTATTTATTTATTTAT